GTGTCTGTCTGTCCATCATGGGGTGTGTGTGTGTCTATTTGTCCGTCATGGGGTGTGTGTGTGTCTCTCTTTCCGTCATGGGGTGTGTGTGTGTGTGTCTGTCCGTCATGGGGTGTGTGTGTGTCTGTCTTTCCGTCATGGGGTGTGTGTGTCTATCTGTCCGTCATGGGGTGTGTGTGTGTGTCTATCTTTCCATCATGGTGTGTGTGTGTGTGTCTCTGTCCGTCATGGGGTGTGTGTGTGTGTCTGTCCGTCATGGGGTGTGTGTGTGTGTCTGTCTGTCCGTCATGGGGTGTGTGTGCTGTCTGTCCGTCATGGGGTGTGTGTCTGTCTGTGTCATGGTCTGTCATGGGGTGTGTATCTGTCATGGTATATGTGTGTTTCTGTGTCTGTCATGGTGTAAATGTGTGTTTAAAAATAGTGTTTTTGCTCACTTTTTTTTTTCCCCATGCAGCGTGCTGGTCTCCCCTCGACTGGCCCTGCCTCTATAGCTGAGATCATGCAAAATGCCACTCCAATCAGCATCTCCTCATAGAGATGCATTGAATCAATGTATCTCTATGGGGAACGTTCAGCACCTACAGAGTGTGGAGGCCCTGAATGTGGGTGCACTAACACAGGAAGCACCTCTGGTGACCGTCTGAGTGACTGTCACTAGCAGTGTCACTTTGAAGCAATGTAAACACTGCCTTTTCTCTGAAAAGTCAGTGTTTACATTGAAAAGCCTGTAGGGACATGCTATAGACACCAGTACCACCACATTAAGCTGTGTGTGTGCGTCTGCTAGTGAGTGAGCTTGCTTGCATGCGTGTGCCTGCTAGTGAGTTAGCTTGTGTTTTTATGTCAATGAGCTGATGTATATCAGTAAGATTGTTTGTCTATGAGGCTGTGTATCAATGAGCTTGTGTGTGTCATTGAGATGTCAGTGAAATTGCCTGTGTCTGCATGTGAGTATGCTTACTGTATAATTAAGTTTTACCCTGAAAGGACCAATATTTTATATTAGAAAAAGCAATATATATATATATTACTCAATCATCTGTCATGGCAAGACATAGCCTTACATATTACACGCGACAATATATGGCGCAGTGACTTATGGGGCTGGCACCAATTTTTTTTCCAGGGCTGCTTTGTATCCCCAGTCCGGCCCTGGTGAGTATCCTGGCGCTCCTGGGGGTTTCAACCGTAACGGCGTTCTATGGGGCCGCAACGGCTTTAAAGCCCATTATAATGAGGATGGCGTAGAATGC